TTACGCATGTCCCGAAATAGGTTGCCACGGCGAGCGATGTTTGCCGAGGCAAGTAGTGGGTGGAAGAAAGTCAAGGATGGCCAAGCTTAGACCTGACATTAGAGTATGAAAACCCTGACTATGGACTGGGTCGCATAGGTCTCGTTAGGCTTCCTGGCTGGGGACTTCGAGAGGATCGTACCCCATGGTTAGAGATACTGAAAGATATGGCTGGGTGTCGTAAACAGTGGCGTTCTTGCATCTTCACAATTTTTTGCACCCATAGTTTACTGGAGTTCTCAATTTTAACTTCAACGCTACCTTTAACTTTCCTGTTCTTCTCCTTTTATTCATCCAAATGGGCAACCAAAAGACAGCAATGAAAACCGGTGCACGTAAGTGCATGGTTAATGGTTGTTCAAACTGAACTGAAGTGATATAACCCACCTACACATAATCTAATCACAGCATTCAATCGATAGTATTGATCCATTGGACTGGTTCTGAATGAGCTGTCCAAACAAATTTACCCGGTAGCGCAAATAGGGCATTTGTGAGAAAAATAGATGTGTTGGATACAAGTATATGAATAAAAGGACAAGAGACTACTGGGTGCATATGCTTGACGAGCGATAAGAACCGCGAAACCGGTTGTGTGCTTCCATAGAAATGTTATCCAGTCATTCACATACCACATATTATGGTGATAAATTATTGAAAATCGGTTCTCGTAGCTCGGGTGAACTGAATTCCATTTCGTCTGTCCCCCGAGCTCGGCAATTAATTTGCAAACATTTCATCACCACCAACCGAGGTGACATCATATCCATGCTTGTGAAGTGGCAGTGTTCTATTTGTCCCTTGTTCTCAATGTTTTCGACTTGGGTCCCCGTTGAACTGGTGCTAGGTGGTGAGGGTGGGAAGAGAGGAGTGATCATTCCGTCCTGTTTGCGGTATCGATCCGTTCTCGGGCTCCGGCGTGACCCATTTTTGTTGCGTCATTTGATCCTTGATTTGCATTGGCGTGTATACGTGATCCAGACACATCGAACTGGATCACTGGATAGTCGGTAGAGAAGACCACGCATATAAACGGACGGGTACAAGCACAAAACTGTCACTTCACAAGCACTGATAATGTCATCTCGGCTGATGATGAAGCGTTTGTAAACCAACTGCCAAGCTCGGCAAGCAGGCGCAATTGAACATATTATATTATTATATTATACAGGTCTAATCGAAACTGAAACAACAGGTCCCTGTGAAACACTTGTTGGTTCGTATGGGCAACAGCATTTATACTGAAGTAAATTTTTTTTTCATAACTGATAATAAACAAGTCTTGGTGAGTCTTTATATCAGTGATTTTCCTGAATCTTTTATACTCAGCAGATGGAATGGTTCAATTTCATTTGGTTATCCAATATCGTTGTTATAATAGATTATACATTAGATAAAATAATGCCTCATTACAAATAAGGGAAATGGCAAGGGTTGACGGAAATAATTTGGGATAATTCTTGAGTCATTCTTATTAGAAAGTATTGCGTTGTCATACTTGATACAGTTCGCGATTCTCATGTTCAGATCATTTATTCTTGGCACTCAAGATCAGGCACGTTTAATTGACAATCGTGCAACCCAGAAACTACGTACATCGAAGTAGACAAGATATAAATTATTGTCCATACCTGAAGCATTAATATGGGTGATAAATATAATGAAACTCTCTTTGATCATAAAGAAAATATTTTAGTGCATCCAAATCGGCCAGTACTGTATATTATCATATTATATACATATATATATATATTGCGTGCAATTATGGGGTCAACAGCACCAAAAGAAATATCAGAGGATGGGAATGTTGGGTCGCAGAACAGCGAGTGCAACATGGAAATCAAACAGCTGCAACGGATTAAGTTAACACGAATACCAATGTTTTTCTTTGTTTGTTTCACCGTACACTTCGCGATAATTATGTATATTTTAGTTTATCGTTTTCTTTTTACGGGGCACGGGATTTCGACTGACTTCTATTCTGGGTTATGTCTCTGCATTTCTAACCGACGGCAATCCTTATTCCTCGGGCCCCAGCCTGGAGCCTGCTTCTTCAGACCGCTACGTCATGTCAGGACGGGGGAAGCGGCCAATCAAAGGGCTGGCATACCCACACATCAATGGGGAAAGACAGACAAAGACAGGCGGTGTAAAATGAAAATGAAAGAAATGTCCTGATTTCACCGCCTTGCCCAGCGCGTGCAAAGAGGGCACGGAGAGATAGTCGATGGGCCGGCCTAGACAAAACGCGGCCAAGCCATCGGAGATGGTGCAGACAGACTATTCACATCCAACACGTGACGAGGAACCTCTTT